AGGGACAAACCTACGATCTGCTCGTCGGTTCCTTAGCCTCTCTAAGGGGAAAAGGAGGGACCCTTAATGGGGACCCTTTAAAGGGATCTATAGGGATTCTACAAGGGTATAGGGTTTAGGGGTTTTGGGGGGTTTTGGGGGTTTGGGGGAAAAGGAGGGACCCTTAATGGGGACCCCTACCCCATTATAATGGGTAGCTTACGGGGCTATACCTAGGGGTCCTCATAAAGGGTCCCTCCGTTTACCCTTGGAGCCTCGCAGGGGCTCTATATGGGCTGCCATACTGTGGATGGACAAAATCCTGCATGACCCAATATAAGGAATATACCATAATTCTCATAGTTTAGGGTCCTTAAGGTCATGCAGGATTTTGTCCATCAACAGTAAGGGATCTTTTAAAGGGTGTATTTAAGGGTCCCTTTAAGGGCCCAGCTCCTTCAACCTTAGCAGGGTTCCGCGAGGGGTGCCATGAGGGTTATGCACGACCAGAGACAGAGAACGCAATGCACTGACTACGTGGGCGTTATCGAAGGATACTCTCAAGGTTACTGTGAGGAGTTTCTCTAAGGGTCCTGCATGTGAACAGGGTGAAGGGTTCAAGGTTTGCCTGATAAAAGAAATCCTTGTGTGAAAACCCCTTCAAGCCTCCCTTCTCCTTTGCAGAGGGGCTTTAAGCGCTTGTAGGGGGTGAAGGGTTTGGGAGAGTGGTTCTTTTGATTGTATTCAAGACTTTCCTTCGACGAAAAACGAGGATCTAGGACCTGGAGTAGGCCCTTGTTCCCTTTTTGTAGCGTTCAGGTTCCCTTAGAAGCCCCTTTCAACCAAAAAAGGGGCACCCTTTTTATTCCATGGTTACTCTGAGGTCTAGGGATGCTAAAAAGCCCAAGATGAAAACTCCTTGCTTCTTCGTCGGGAATGGGGGAATGGATCCCCATGATAGTCCTTTAAGGTCCCTTATAGTAGTCCCTACCTAAAGGCCCCAAAGTAGTTCCTTTTGGGGGTTCATATATCGAGTCCTATAAGGTAATCCCAAGAAGGAACTACTGTGGGGCCTCTGGGTATAACCTACAACCCATTCAGCCATTCCCGACTTAGAATCAGGGGAAAAATGGCTTCCCTGGAATCTGGACCTTGCAGTATTGAGTTTTGATGACCCCACAACTCCAAAAAATCAATACTTTATTGCCAGCTTGTACTGTTGGAAAGTTGTCAGTTTGCCGTGTCGTGCTATAGATGCATCATCTGCGTTTTTTGATGATCTCTTGATGCCAGCAACATCCCCAGTTCCTCTAGCAGGGGTAGAGACCTTCTTGGGGTGACGTAGAGCTCAACTTCTGCTGCAGCTGCTGGTATCTGAGCGAAGGCATGCAGCACGCAAAAACCAACCCTGCAGCCATGAACCTACAGCAAAGCTTCGGCAAGATAGAGCGTCCGGCTCAACACAGCTCATGTTTGTGTGTTCTTCGTCGATGGTGGAGTTAGCCTTCAGTCTGAAAGTGAAAGGCTGCCTCAACCCTGAATCCCAAGCCAAGGGCCCATGTACCCAATAATGGTGCATACTTTGGCTAAGCGGACCCCGGCACAGGTATGAGAGTGTCAAAAGAAAAAGGTCTATGGGAGCACGAACCCATGTACCCATATAGCATATACTTTGGGCCCAATGTACCTATTTCGGGAGTACTTTAAGGCCAATGTATATACTATATGAGTACATTGACCCTTAGGAGAACCCTTCGGGCTAGACCCCAGCCACGGGCAGCAGCAAGCGTCAAACGAGCCACGCATGCAGCGACTGCAATGAGGACAGCCAAGGCTTCGTTTGCCGGGCTGTGGTGAGGGCTTGGAGATTCGGAGCTAGGCCATTACTTGGAGGATCATGGGACGTAGTAAGTAAGTATAGAAGTACTTATAATTGGGCTTATAAGTAGGTATAAGTATGGTTACCCTAATTAGGACCCTAGTTACTGAGTCCCATGATCCTTTAAGAAGTAGAGCAGAGTAACCTAAGGAGCCGCTGTTCTTATTACCCAGGCCCTCAGATGAATCCGTATGCTCTACGTAAACCCTGCTAGATCCCCCACGCAAAGGATCTAGGTATTTCGGGCACCCACCCAAAGGCTCCGTGCACCCTTATAGTAGAAACTTAAGCCTTAAAGGGGTCCCTATATAGGTAGTTTAAGGCCTAAGTATATACTATATGGGTACATGGAGCCTTTGGGTCAACACCCTAAACCCCTTCAAAGCCACCGAGTGCGGAAACCCCAAGGCCCAGGCCCTACCGACGGGGTTAATAAGTGGTTATGGATAGGCTCTATTTCAAAACGGTTTAGGGCTTCGGGTATCCTACAGGTTCAGGGTTTTATAATAAGGGTTCTGGGAGAGTTATTTGGTTTCCTAGTGTTTGTGTTTTTTCATACTTGATTCAGTCCGCAAGGGTCCAACTCCCCCCGATCTTCGCCCGCAGGACTAGGCGAACTTGCTTTTACACGAAAATCTCGCAACCCGAATGCCTTACCCTATCTTACCCTAAGCTCTAAACGGTCAAACCCACAGCCCTTGAACCTGACGCCCTGTAGACCAACCCAGCAGACAATAATGGTCTACGACCTTATTTATTGCTGGGTACTTTCCTAGACCCCAACTACCCTCTATACACTATACCCTAAATACCTAGTCTTAAGGACCATACTTAGAGGATCATGGGACGTAGTAAATGGGTAATATTTGGGGGTATAAGTCCCCTAAGTGGGGTTAGTCTAATCATAACCTACTTATAACCTTATACTTACTAAGTCCCATGAGCCTTCAAGTAAGGGCTCCATTCAAGGGCCATTGGGGTGTCTCGGTTGGATCCCGAGATTCTGCTCCTCGTCTGTGAAAGCAGCCCCTACGATTCAAAAACGCCTTAGAACGGCCCCAACTCTCAGGTTAATGTGGATGGTTCTCAAAATTATGGTTTTTTGGTTTCCCTAAGTATTAGGTGCCGTATTATTATGCTTATTGGCTGTGAACTCAACTTTTCAGCTTTTGGGGTTCTTATAAGGCAGTCGGTTCTGAAAGTTTCAGCTTCTGTTTCCTTGGGTTTGGGGCCAGTGAGTATGTGAGCTTGGTAATGTATATAGGTTTCCTTTTACGTGCTCTTTCAAGGGTTTCTATAGTATGGATATCGGCGTAGGGTTGCATAAGGTCCCTGGAGAATCAAAGTAGAGCATGTGGGATATAGTATAACTATGAAGCAGTATTAGTGACGTTTCAGGGTTTTATTATGGGCATGGAGGAAGCACCCTCAGAATTCCTGATGTGTTTGTAGCCGGAGGCTCGCCAAAACAAAGAGCAAGCTGCGGATCCGAAAAGCCGATGCTTTCAGTTGTTACACTGCAACCCGTGGTAGAGTAGGCAACCTTTAACCTTTTTTGAGGCGTTGTGGTTCAAGTGCCTCCCAGTGGCGCGCCCGGTACTAGAACACTAGGCTAAATCTTGAACCTGTTTCCATACCTGGTGTTTGGTGATAAAGTATCAAGATGCCGAACCTGATGAGTCTCTTGCGAAGATGGGTCTCTAACACAACGGGACCAGCAATCTGCATTACTTGGTTATTGGAAGAGTTGTACGGCAAATTCAAGAAGATGGCTTCAGGTCTGATTGAGGCTGATTCTGCAGTTGGGGGAACGGAAATTGAGATTCAGAAGACGCCCATAACTTACAATCTCGTACATTGCTGTGGGTCGAGGATACAGGATTCGGCTGGAAGCAAGGATCAGTCAACAACCATCTTCCACATCAAGCCGGCTGCAGCAGACGAGCAGGCTCCGCCGATATTGCGTTCTGACTTACAATTGCGGAGGTTTAGTTTTGGAGTCTGTATTCCCGACACGAGCGGTCTCCAGCTCCACGCAGGTTATGAAGAGTGTGGTTTTGGGTCGGATGCAGCGTGTGGGTCTACGTGCTCGAATCCTCGCCCGAAGATTGTTGCAGCATCCAGTTCAACAACTGAGACAAGACAAACAGCACCTAGGACCGTCTCACCAGCTGTGTTGATTCTGGAGCCTTGTAGCGTGTCACAGCGTGTGGGAAGCAACCATTGTGTTTGTTCTGAACTCAAGTGTTTTTGGGACTCGGACGAATGCACTCCTACCCCAACAGCAATTGCCCGCGGTTCAAGTGCATCCTTAAATCTGACCCGTCCCAAAGCCCACCCTAGAGGTATCCAAACCTTACAAGTACCCGCTAAAGTCCCCGCTGGCCCCTCTGGTACACACATGACGCAAAACTTGAATATAGCCTCAGGGATAAGTCGTGTCTCGGAGGCATGTTCGGGCTACGACGCCCTCCCTGACCTTCTTGAGGACCCAGCCGATCAGGTACAGGACGCTGTAGTTGGGCTATCTCTAGTGTTTACTATTAGTTCGTCCACCCTAAATAAACCCCCAGGAAATTCCAGCATTGAACCGTTCACCTCTTGGATAAGATGCGAAACAACCCCGGTAGCAGGTTCAGGAAACCTCGGTAATGTGCTCCCCATTACGTGTTCAAGAACCGAAATTCCCCTTCGGCCCCCACGTGTTGGAAATGATGCTGATGATGCTTCTGTTTCCTCGTCCCGAAACCTTACAAAGAGCGCGAAGCTCGATCGCGCGTGCTGCCTCAGATGTGGTTGTTTTCCAAGCTGCTTTCAAATGCCCGAGCCGTGTGACCCCCTGAAGGTACAGTGTGCCATGTTGCTGTTTGTCAATATCCCCGAGTCCCAAATTGAAACCCCGCGGTGGCTAGATGTAGACAATCAGCCTCAACCCAAGGTGACCTCAAATACTGAAGACTGTACCTGTTCTCTACATGCTGACATACAAGCTGGATTGGACCGAGCAAGCCACAGACTCCGAATGCAGCTTGAGATGAGCTTCAACTCCTCAGATCGCCGTAGTCGGCTTTGTAGCGTCGTGACTCTAGCTAGTATAGACACTAGTGGCCGCACCCGTCCCAGCATGCAAACTCGCACAGCCATGGATGAATCCCCTGAGCCAGGCGTTAGCCCCGTCCGCAAGATCCTTATCAAAGCAAACTGGACAACACACGAGCAGTTCGAGATCCACCCAACTCAGCCCTTGGGTCTTGTGAGGGTGTATTTTGCAGGCGAATCGCATGAGTCCATCTCTCTGAATTACCGGCGTACAAACTTGGCCGCTGAGACGAGGGTGGAAGCATTAGCTGCGGATGCATATCTCTGGGCCGATCGTAAGTCCAATAATCGAGCAGGTGATAATATCTGGTGGAACATGGACTACAACCTGCTACGAGAAGCTTTGAAAACTGACTTTGAAGGTTCATGCGAGCTGAAAATCAGTCAGGTTGAGCATAAGGGTCATTTGGCGAAGATGGTTTATGGGAAACAGTGCTTCAACGTCCTGCACTTCTTGCCCGATGGCAGGTGGTTTACCATACAACGGCCATTATGGTCAGTAGCGCAGGCGAAGCAGTACATTGGGGAAAGGTTTGGTCACATGTTCTCGGGGACAATCCAAGCATGGGCCATGTGTGCTTGTGGGAAACATTGGCACCAACTGTCAGATAACTTCACTTTCGCATTTGAGGATAATGCGCTTGTGATATTTCTGCCACCTTTGCAAAATCGGTTGCTCCCGTACATTTCCAGGCCAGACAGTATCATCAAGTTGACCACCCACGAGGACATCAGCAAACACGGGCCAAGTCAACCAACCAATCATCGTGATTGCGCGGTACCAACACAAGGTTCAGTTGACAAGTCCATGGAGCCCGATGCGGCGCAGCCCTTGGACAAGATGTCCCCAAGCAAAAGGAAGGTCGAGGAGGATTTGGCGGACCCCAGATCACCATCACGAACCCCCTCACCTTCAACGGCGGATGATGCTAACAGGCCATCGGTCGTGTATCGTTCTGGATGTCGGCAGCTACACGTCACATTGCCCAACCAGAAAACAAGGCTCATCAGCATCCGGAAGCCCCTCTTGCTCAGGAGCATTTTGGAGGAGCGTCTACCGGCGGTTTCACCAAAACAGGTCGCATGGATGCTCGGCGACACCCTTGTAGACCAGAATGCTTGTGTAGTCTACGACCCATCCCTTCCTGAGGCCCCCCCGCGGCGTTTGTACATTACCCCTCTCGGCCCAGGCGGGGCAAGTGAGCAGCAGGTGCGAGACAAACTCACGAGCACCCTGAAAGGTAAAGGTTTACAGGATCCCGACCTTACCCACAAGGTACAAGAAACCATGAATGTGCTTGAAAAGCAAGATCTTGTCAAGTTTCACGGATCATCAGACCCATGGCGAACCCTGAAACAGCTTGTCGGTAACAGAATTACGTTTATCAAGCGAGGGCAATCCCAAGGACCCAAGGACCCATGGCTTACCATGGACCCCTGGCGCGAAGCGAAAAACAAAGCAACATCGTCAAACACCCCTGGAGTCCCGCAGGTAAGTAAGACCCCGCTTTCAATCCTACCTTTGAGGGACGCCTTCCGAAATGAGGATGGTACACACCCGGTAGTTTTGGACAAGCTTCAGCATGGGAGTTCAGGACTAGTCATGTTAAACCCGACCCAATTCCACGAGTGGGCCGATGTTCCGCGGCCCATAAGTCCGGATGAAATCTCAGCGATCGTTTTCCCTCCGCTCGGCCCCCTGGACACCCCCAAGGATTGGAATATCCAAACGGTAGACTTTCCTGCAACCCTTACCGGTACAAAGGAAATGCCTACTCTCTTGAAGGGAAGCTTGTGCCATTTTGGTGCCAAAACAATCTCCCTCGAAAAGCCGTCCGATGACAAAGCATTTCAGGTGAAGGATGCTGCGTCAGTGTTAGTCGAGATTGATAAAGAGGACTCCGAAGGTGAATGGCAAAACGTCCTAGTAAACCCACTGCAGTATGTAACGAACAGGGTTAGTCCGGTTGCTACTGTGTTTTCTCATTGGGGTGCCCGATTTTGGACCGGTCGATCTCGCACCCCGAGCCAGTCCCAAGCCTCAAGATACTCCGTCAATCTTCTCATTGCTAGGACATCATTTCATGCGGCCTTAAGACTTTCAGGAAATGGTTTGTGGATCTCCCCTCGAGCAGGACAGCCAGAATTTGCCAAGTACAAACCTATCTGGGTCCCAGGCACCCTAGCAGATCTAACCATCAAACATGACAAGATCCCTGACGGAGCAGGTATGGTCAAATCAAAGAAGGGTTTTGCAATTAGAGTTCCAACATCATCCTTTGAAAAGCACAGAGCTGCCCTCTTGCCTGGAGTATCGTTCCCAACACCTTCTGATGCCTCCAACCCGGGACATGCTTACAAACTTTCCCCAGCCCCACTCGGTGCTACGAAAGATGATGTATCGGACTTCCTGCAACACTATGTGTCTGACAATCACCATAGAGTCATCAAGCAGCTTGGTCCCAAAGCATGGTTGGTGAGTTTCAACGATCCTGTCAAACATCATTACTTGTGCACGAACGCAGGGTTTATCATCTTACAACCATGGATTACTAGTAGTCAGAGGGACCCACTTCATGGAGCCATCGTGGTTGGTAGCGCTAACGTGGTACGTGAAGCCGTGTCACACATTGGGCTGACCTCTCAGATTAAGGGTTCTACGGTTTGTCCCGTGACTGCCGTGTCCGTAGCGCCCCGCCCACCCCCGGAGGGGCCAATTCAAGAAAGGCTTGCAGCTACTGAGAAGAAATTTCACGACCTACTAGAAGCACAGAAAGCTGAGTTCCACACCCTCCTTACCGAAACCAAGGAAAATCAGGCGAGTGCTTTACAAGAGGTGAAGGATGACACTAAACAACAACTTCAGGAAATCCGCGCAGAAGCACAGAACACCAAGCAGGATTTGCAACAACTCATCACGAAAAACCAAGCCGAAGCCACATCGCAAACGAAAAAGATTCAAGAATCCATGGACTCAGGTTTCCAGCAACTTATGCAAGAAATGCGACGGTTCAGAGTCTCGGAAGCGAAGCGCTTGGCATCTCCTTCACCTGATGAAGAACCCCATCCAAAGAACCAACGGCCTTCCTGACCCCCAGTTTTGTTAGCTGCTGGCAGTTCTCCCCACCCCCATTGGGATACGAGCCCCGGGAGTCACGGCATCAAACCAGCTCCACGCCCCAGGTATCGGTATCTAGCCGGGCCACTCCCTAACCTCGGTGGGCGCATCTGCTGCTTAATTCGACTGAAAACGTCGCCCTGCATCCTGGCATTCGTACCTCTATTGATCGTCTGTTTGGCAATCCACCTGACTTTGTTACCTTTGCTTCCGGCTACTTGGGCTAATGACGCCAACAGTTACCTTAGGCTGACAACCTTCATACCGGAAACCGCAAGGGAAGCGAATGCCAGCCCCATAGTTCCAACATACACAAATCGAGTGGAGTTCGCACCGCCGACGGTCCGGAAAAAAGAATGCGCTGATAATGATACAAACCTGGCATTGCCGGGAGATGGCCTTTTTGGCCTTGCATGCCATGCTCAGATAGACACCTTAACCCAACCCCTATTGAATCCCGATGACCAAATCATCAACTGTAGCCCTTTTTCGTTTCCTGTCGCCATCATTGTGGCCACGTTTAATCTGTTCGGATTGATTAGCCCAAGGAGTTCATTTTACAAATCATTCTCGTTATGCAGTCTCACCCTATGTTCTGCAGTTCTCCCAGTTTGCGCCCACGGAGCTGACCGCGCACGGTATGTGGCAATCTTAACTGCAATAAAACATGTCAGATCTTCGTGTTTACAACATGTCCGACGGGTTTCCGCCATCAAGTCCTCGCACAGGTATCTGGCAGGTATGGTTCTAGTTGCTTTTGCGGTGTGGTTTCTCTTTGCAGTCTCCTCCAAAGACTTTCTTGAGGAGCGTCCCCCTTCCACGATGGTACATTCCCAGGAAAACCTGACCTACCCGTGGGTCCCGAGGGAATGGCAACTGTTGGAAAACATTGGTGAAGCAACAAACCCAGGCCCCATGATCGGAGTGTCAACTCTCAACGTAGTTTCTATAACAAAGTACTTGGAGGTTGTAGAGGCGAGTAGCCCCGTCCCAACGGTAAGTATTTTCACAGAGACTTGTTTGACCAAGGAAATGCTCCCCACGGTAACAAACAAAGCCAATGCTGCGGCGAAGAAACTGGTTACCTCAGGACTCGTTGGACCTCGAAAAGTAAGCAATAAGAAAGACAGCGTCTTCAGAGGCGAATCAGGTGGAGTTTTGGCAGTGTCAGACCTCCCACTTCGGAAAAGTAATCTCAACATGCCTTTTGCAACTTGGATGTCGAACCGACTCGTTGAAGGCATTGTATCCTTAACCAGCACTCTAGTGGCGAGAGTCATCGGGATTTACGGGTATGTTGGCTTTAAAAACCATGCAGAAGCCACCAATGACCTCATAGTGTCGATGTTACCCCATATAGGGCACTCCTCACTTCCATGCTTCATCGTAGGTGATTTCAATTGTTCCTTGGAGGAGTTGGCAGTGTGGGAACGCCTCCAAAACTTGGGTTGGATGGATGCAAACACCCTTTTCCAAAATTTGACGGGTTCGCCTATCTTGCCGACGTGGAACTCACAAACCAGGATAGATTTCATCCTCATCCCGCCAGGTTTAGTACCGTACTTCCACTCTTTTTTGAATAATGCAGACACTATTTCTGATCATTCCCTGATTACAGCCTACTTCGAATTCCCTGAGACCGCTCTCCACAGGGTAAGGTGGAAAACCTGTAGAGACCTCCAGCCCCTCAAACTGGACCCGAAGAGGATACAATCCCAAGCGCAACAAATTGACTGGACTTTCTTCCGCGACTTCCTAGCCTGTGGTAACATTGAAGAGGCCCTGGCAGAATTCACAAGGCTTTTTGAACAAATGATTGTAGATGTTAGGCAGACCGACCAACTATCTGTCTCGACTCAGTCCTTCCTGGGTAGAGGGAATCCGAAGCTGGTTAAAAAGGAATTGCACTGCCCTACAGTACCCCATGGTCGGAGTGGCGATTTGCACCCCACGGTGGACGATGCGCCGTTAGCCCTTAGGCAGCAAATCCGACAGGTTAGGCGCGTAGGTACGGTCTTGAATCAACTTATCGCTGCCTGCAAACCTGGTCAAGCGGAGAGCGCCGGCAACGCAGCACGCGAAACCTGGGACGCAATTATGAAAAGCCATGGTTTTCAAACCCACTTTTCTCACTTCGCATGGACGTCCCTTGGAATACTACTCCCAGACACAGTTGATGTCACGCATATCCCTTTGGTAATGCTTTTAAAGGAGCAACTGGGGAAGAGTTTACCCAAAGTGCAATACCAATATTCCAAGCTGAAATCACATATCCGTTCCGAGTTCCTCAACGCGGATTGGTCCAACGGAGCCCCGGCCCACTTTAGGGACATTCGTCCCCCGGCTAAACCAGACATTACAATTCTAGAAAGCCCGGTGCCTGTAGTTCTCCAGCGCTGTAGGCATGCGAAAGCTGGGCCCTGGTGGTTCCTTGTTGACAACTTCCCTGCACAAGCAGCTTTTGTCGAACATGGAACCATCCGTAGAACCGTACTACAGGTCACAGACTCCCGCGTCCAGTTGGATGGCCCAATCTTGTCTACTACACCCCATGTACATGTGTTTGCTTTAGTCCCTACAGAAAACCCTCATGTGCTTTTCTTAAGGGCCCAGGAGTATTGGCAGCAGTTTTGGCAAGACGAGCCCCTTGAGGATCCACTAGCTTGCCGTGAGATTCTGCGTTCAACTACCCCTGTACCTGAGTTTGACGAAAATATTCAGGTAGATGAAGTCAAGCAGGCACTAAAGCAACTCAAGTTTGGGAAAGCTAGAGGCCCGGATTGCTGGTCTAACTACGAGCTCAAGACCCTACCCGAACCCTTTGTCGAAGCCTTGACAGACCTCTTCAATGGAATGAAGAATCATGTGACTTGGCCCCAGTCCATGCTCGAGGCCACTGTAGCGCTTCTGTCAAAGTCGTCCGTGTCTTTTAAATTATCTCAAACACGTCCCATTACAATTCTGAGCACACTTTACAGACTCTGGGCAAAGATCATGGCCCAAAAGTTTTTAAGCAATGTCCTGAAGTTCCTGCCCTGGGGTATTCAAGGTAACCGACCTGCGGCCTCTTCCAAGTGGTTAGGGTCTTATGTGCAGCTTTTGGCGGAAACGGCCCTCTGTTTCGGTGAGGAGTTTAGCGTAGCTTCCCTTGACCTCACAAAAGCCTACAACCTTCTGAGGCGTCCTATCCTCCAAGAAACCAATGCGCACTTCGGTACCCCCCGACCCATTTGGGCCCTGTATCGCTCTTTCCTTGATGCGGTTTCTCGTCATTTCAGAATACATGGCTGCATTTCGACAGAGGTTAAGTCCACGACAGGAGTTCCGGAAGGGTGTGCCTTCGCGGTATATCAAATGCTCCAAGTTAATTGGCTGACTTTACTTTATGTGCAGTCGAGACAACAGAATGAGTGCCACACTGTCTTTATGAACTATGTGGATAACTGGTTGTTCCATTCACATCTACATGGTTCCTTACGTGAAGCAGTGCAATACACCCACGATTTCGCACAAGTGGCAGGTTTCAGGATTTCTCAGGAAAAGACTTGGGTAGCGAGCACGACGGCCAAAGCTCGTAAAGCTCTGAAGGAGTGGAGCTTCAATGGTCATACACCAGCCTCTACGACTCACAAGGTTGAATTGGGGATGCTCTTCAGGTTCGATAAAGCCCCCAGTGTCCAGGATGTCGTCCCCCGTTGGGAAGATGGGTTGGAGAGGATTGATAGACTCATTTTTAAAGACTGGCCAGTTGTGCGCAAAATTAGTCTGATCCAAAGAGGTGTGTTCCCCATGGTTTTTTCTGGTTGTGAGACGGTCCACGTCTCACTGTCCACTCTAAAGAACTTTCGGTCCAAACTGAACACAGCTGTTCATGGTAAACAGACTAGAGCGTCCCACTTCTTGAGCCCACTTTTTACCCACAAGGTAGACTACGAACCCTTTCTTTATGTGTTTAAGACTAGGTTGGCATCTTTGCGTAGTACTTTGTTCTCGTTTGGTACAGCACAAGCAGCGAGACTGTGGAACCACTTACTGGACACTGACTTACTAGCCAACCAACGCCTTACACTTGGACCAGTGTCACTTTTCCTTTGGGCATGTCAGGTTCTTGGCTGGGAGACACAGTCTAACTTTGATGTGGTAGTCAAGTCCACGACCCTCAATTTACTCACAACACCCGTCGGTACATGGATGAAGTTGGCACAGCAGTCTTGGTATGAGTATGCCCTTCAGAAGTTTCTCAAGCCGGGTAAATGGCCAAACTTTTCCTTCGCTTTGCCCACTTGGTTTTCCCTCTGGGGTTTCAAGCATGATCTCCCGGCTTTGGCCTTAAAGCATCGAATCTTCGGTCTCCTTTCAGCTGACGCGTTGGCCGCGGTAAGGGGTACAGACGAGGCGCACTGCGAACTTTGCAACCAGGTAGGCGCGGGTTCCTTCCACCTCGTAACTTGTTGCCCAGCGACCCAACACCTGAGAGAAAACAGTGAATATGCTGCCACTCTTCAAGCCCCCTTGTTCACACGGTGTACAGGTATACCTTGTGTCCCTTTCAATATTAGTCCTCTGGATTTAGACCTAGGCCGAATTAATTTTTGTCACACGCCGCAACTCGTCTCGATTTTTACCGACGGTGGTGCAAATCCACCTGATTTACCAAATGTCCGCCTCAGCTCGTGGGCAGTTGTAGGATCGTATGGGCGTTCCCATGATTTCTTCCCGATCGGTAGTGGTATCACCCCGGGCCCCTTTCATTGCATCGCTAGGGCAGAAACCTATGCAGTCCTTCAGGCTTTGCGCTCGGCAGTTCGCGTAGAAATTTTTACTGACAATTCCTCCGTCGTTCTTGGTTTGCAGTCCATCCTGAGCAAGGGCTTCGACGTTTTCCACTGGCGCAACCACCCCAGTTTTGATTTGTGGTGTCTTATTGCCCAGGAAGTCATCACGCGTGCCCCAGGGTCTGTGAAAATATCCAAAGTCAAGTCCCATCGTCACCCTACTGAGGCTGAAGATCAGTATGACCTTTGGACAATCCTAGGCAATAACGCGGCAGATGAATTAGCCAGAAGCACACTGTCCCGATCAAGCCGCGTTTGGAATTTTGTAGCAGAACGTACAGCAATTGAGACTGCTTATAAGTGTAGCTTGTTTTTGCATGAAGTTTCACGCCTAGTCATGTCCCATAGAAAGGCAAACCCGCGGCATCAGCCTACTCCCACACCGACCCCGGAGAGTGTATCGGTACAGTACAGCCCTTGGCCAATCCATATCCCCGGCCCTTTCCAAATTCAGACATGGGATGAAAAATGGCTACAGCTTTTCGCACATTACTGGACGCTTTTGGAGTGGCCATCCCCTTTTGAGAGCCCGCCGCCCTCCCAAGGGGTTTCTTTCATTGAACTTATGTTAGATCTTTGCATTTCTTTTCAAGTCATGGTGCCGATCAACCTTAAAGTGCTCAAAGGGTCTAGTTTTTGTGATGCGCCTAAGGTGAATCATAAATCCCCGGCAGTTTATTTCCTCCCAAACCGTTCCGAAGCCACCCGACTGCCCCCACAGGTATTAACGCAAGCCGCAGGTACCTTTGTGAAATGTTTTGATCTCCTTAATGCTTCTTTGAAGTTGACTCCTTATCCCCGCGAAAATCTGCGATCATTGTCATCTTACGGGTTTACCAATGTTGTTCCCTCTTTGAAATCCCGACCCAACCTCCTTTCAGGGTCCCACGTTCGACACCTTCTTGAATCCATCATAGTGCCGGGAGTCCGAGTCCTGAAATATTCGTATCGCATCCCCCAAATCACACCTCGTCCGTTGCCGGCCTGCTTCCCACAACACTTCTGAGCTTAATTCGCAAATTCGCGAAGCTCGTCTCACGCCTTTCGCTGGGGACGCAGCTTATTCCACGTCGCGCTTTAACCTTTTTTGGGTAATATAGCCCCTGTATAATCCCTATAACCAAAAAGACTAACCTTCAGTTCCCCCGTCCCTGTTTAACGGCCTTACATGACACGATTTCCCAACCATTCGGTAGGGTTCGGGCGTAGAGGTCGGCCTGGATCTAAACCCTGAACCTTGATGTCGTTGAGGTGTTGTCTCGGACTGATACTGTACAAAAGGCATAGAGGCCCGCATCGCTAGCCTCGTCGCCCGACCGACCACACATGTCCGGATGAACCCCGAGCTCTAAACCCAAGCCGACCCACCCTGAAGCCTTAAACCCTGAACCCTCAATCCCTAAACCCTGAACCCTGACCCTTACTCCCTAAACCCTAGACCCCGAAACCCTGACCCGCAACCCTACACCTTCGACCCTGACCCTTAACACCCTAAACCCTAGCCCCCGAACCGCTGAACCCTGACCCTTACACCCTAAACCCTGAACCCTAGACCCTAAAATCCCTAAATCCTAAACCCTAAACCCTAAACTGACCCTTATTTGGGGTTATAAGTAGTTATAAGAATAGTTACCCTAATTATAACCCTAGTTACTAAGTCCCATGATCCTTTAAGTACAGCACCCAAGCCCTCAAAAGCTAATATCCCTTATGAGTAATGATCTTTTTAAGGAGCCCTAAACCCCTATAGATCCCTTTAAAGGAACCCTATAGATCCCTTTAAAGGAACCCTATAGACCCCTTTAAAGGAGCCCTGTTCCCTACTAGAAAAGCAGGCCACCAGGGAGATGGCGCCTCGTCGTGCTGACGAGGCCCAACTACCGAGGCAATGGGCCCCAGACGTCTTTCCGGTCATGTAGCGGTTTAGGGAATAGGGTTTAGGGGTTTAGGGGTGTAGGGGTTTAGGGGTTTAGGGGTTTAGGGTTTAGGGTTTAAGGTTTAGGGGTTTAGGGTTTAGGGTTTAAGGTTTAGGGGTTTAGGGGTTTAGGGTTTGGGGTTTAGGGTTTAGGGGTTTAGGGTTTAAGGTTTTTGTTTAACAAACTAGCCCTAAGGGTCCAAGCGGTCCTTATTTATGGTTTTTGGTACTTACAATGTCTCCAAAGTCCTATCGTAGGGAGCACATGGACCCTTAGGGAAACAGCAAGAATAAGAACCGGGATCAGCTTAAATATGCAAATACGAACAAGAACAAGAACAATACCAAGACTAATTACCACTATGATATTCATCATGCATCGATTATGATAGTGCCTATGATTATGCCATTTAGGTGGGCCGTTTAGATGTGTTTTACGTTGGCCTATTGGGCTCAAGAAATCTTATTTGCCATCGTTCCATCCTAGCTTAATATGAGGGTCCCTAGGCCCTAGGGTTCGTTGATAAGGGTGGGTATAAGGGTTCTACACTCGGTTTGGAAAGGGTTTCATATGAGAGCCTGCATACTTACCAGGAGTATTGCTCCTCCGAGTTACCTTTAGTAGGTATGTTACATAAGCATCTACTTCTAAATCCTACTCTCCATGTACCCGTATAGTATATACATTGGCCTGAAAGTAGTCCCTATACAGGTACATTGGGGGCCAATGTATATACTATATTGGTACATGGACCTTCCAAATAGTAACCTGCATAACTACTATCCTAAACGCAAGTACCTGATTATTGGCTCCTTTGGACCCTTGGGGTTATAAGTTATAAATACTATTCCTCAGTGGCTTATTGCTTCTGATTATACCGTTACCACAACATTGGCCAAACCCTGCTCTAATTGCAAACGCCCTATGTTTGGGCTTGGGTTGTAGGGGTCTGGTAGGTACCAGAAGAGCAGCAGTTGGGAACTGTGCCGTGGCGTAAGATCTGAACATAGCTTTTAGGACTGCCGTTCGTTACCTCCGCTACAGCGCGGGGCGCGCGGCGGGTTTACATGGTGGGTTTCGGGTTGTAAAGAGGTGCTTTAGAGGGTGGGGTTCAGGGCTTAATGTAGGAACCTGATTGAGCAACCTTGGGCCTTTGTTTGGGTTCCTTATATGGGCGGTTGTGAAAATTATGGTCCCGTTTTGGGTCCCTACTATAATACGGCACCTATTGTTTAGGGTACCCAAGAAGGGACTATTAGTTTGGGGGTTATAGGGCCAGGGTTTCTTAATCAGCTTCCTACATCAGAGCTCAACCTCAAACCGTCAAGCCTAAAGTTCAGGGTTCAGGCTCTGCTTTCTGCTTCCAGCGAGAGCGTTGTGCAGGTTGGTATAGGACATGCAGCCTCGTCCTCCGGGTGCGAATTCGCGGTGGTTGCTGTGTTTGTGATCTTAAGAGCAATGAAGGTGCCATGGGGGAATTATTATGAGATTTACCCTCAGACCTTCAAAGATTAGAAGGGCACCGTGCAGTCCCCCGTCAGAGCGCACTACAGTTTGCGATATTTCTGCGATTTGAGCTGCTGTTGTGGGGCTGAGGGCTGGGGGAACTTGGATTTTCAGGGCAGTGACATCGGTTTTCAATTTTTGCTGCTTGCTTGGAAATGTGTGGCAGCTCGAGGATTACAGTTTGATGCTTGCGTGGCGCAGGGTCGGATTCTAGTTATAAGTTATAAGTGGAGTCCCCTGATATGCGTTATAAGTATAGTTACTTTACTTGTAACCCCCACTTATAACTACCCCTGATCCTCCAAGTGCTGCAAGATTGCTGACTACACTTTCTTTCCGCGGCCCTTTCTTCTTTGCCAGTGTTGACCGGCGCTGGTGGTTTCGGTCTTCATGCGCAGCCTACTTGTCGATGGATGTTTTGGGCTCTCCCAACTTCCTTTCAGAAGGCATGTCTCGAGTCCTTGAATCTACAACTGACGAAGACCAAGCAAAAGCAATGACAGACGTCACTTGACCGAGGCCTCTGCCACACACACACACACACACACACACACACACACACACCGGATCGGTGCACTAGCCATGTTTCGCATCTCGCTGATTTCAGGCAAGGAGGTAGCAAGCCTTCCTCTTGAGGAGCTGAGCGATGTCAAGGCCTTGAAGCAGCGATTGCATCAACAAAACGGCCTGCCGCCACGCTTCAGGCAGAAGCTTCTTCACGAAGGCACTGTCTTGGATGATGCCGTCAGACTGGCCTCCGTAATGGAACCGCGAGTTTTGGCTGCGACATCCCCAGAGGCCGTTGCGTGGGAGCCGAGACAGCTCGCCGCTGCCGAGCATCCTCCCGTGGCCGAGGCCATTGGGATATTGAAGCGGCGACTAGAAAGGGGCCACAGTAACTACCTACTATATACTATTTTGGGGTTCCTTATTATAGTTAGAGTATAGAATGGGCCACAAAAATATATTCCAAGTTTCAAGGCCCCGGTATTACATCCGGAGGACGGCCCGGAGGACGGCCTGCCGCCTCCATGCAGGCCAAGGCTGCTTCGCGATGACAAGTCGCAAACACCCCCCAGTGTGGAGCTGCACGTACCTGGACCCCAAAAGTATGTAGAATAATAGACGTTTATAGGTTTTGAACCATTATTTTACTTACTTTTGGGGGTCTAGGTAGTCGAGATGACCTTCGTCGATGCGTCGGACCAGACTGCAGACGTTGTTTCATTTTTTTCGGCAGTGGCTGACGGTGATGTGGCCAAGGCAGGGCAACGTTGACTCCCGAAAAGAAGCCGTCGGCAAGTCTTCATGACCGTTGTCTTATATTAATATGAGTATCTTCTTCACCCCCAACTCTAACAGACTTAAGTCTTTAACAGGCTTTTGGCTGTGAGGATCTTCGAGGTACAGAGCCTGAGAGCTTCATCAGACCCTTAGGTTGAAGCTCTGCTGCAGCTTCCCATGAACCCGGATGTTAGTGCTTGGGGAGGTACCCCACTGATGCGGGCGGCTGCAGTCAACCAGACTGGTGTGGCACAGTTGCTTCTCGAAGCCGGTGCCCAGTTGGATTTCTGTGACAGCCGCGGCCACACACCACTGATGGATGCAGCAGGAGCGTGGTTATGTCGTGCTGCAATGGTCCAGTTGCTTCTAGACGCGGGTGCGCAGAGGGATCTGCGCAACAGCCAAGGCAGGACAGCGTTGATGCTTGCTTCACACCGCGGTCATGCTCCTGTCGTGCGGTTGCTCTTAGAGGCCGGAGCTCAGAAGGATCTGCGAGACAATGACGGCCAGACGGCACTGATGCTCGCAACCGAGTGGGGCCATGATCAAGCTCGGCGACTGCTGCAGTAGACTCGTGCTTCGATGGTAGCTGAGGCAACAGCACATCTCCGAGTGAGAAAGCTTGGAGTGACTCTCTACTTAAAGGATCATGGGACTTAGTAACTAGGGTTATAATTAGGGTGTTTGTACTTATAACTACTTATAGCCCTAATTAAGGTACTCATAACCTTACTAAGTCGCAGGATCCTCCAAGTATGCTGCGATCGGGAGTTCCTAGCCGGGCCAAGGGTCTAAATCGAAAGGTTCCGAAAATAGGGGTACCTTATTTTGGGGTCCTTGTAATAATAAGGATCCTACTATTTAGGGTACTATATTAGGGTCCCCTATTTTCGGAAACCCCCAAATCGGGATTTAGCGTTTTGGCTTGGAGGATCTAAATTTCCTGGTTCACGTCAAGCCTTGAACCCTAATGTAGGGGTCTGAATAATTTTACCTATACCATTCTGGGGGTTTCTATTTAGCATGTACTTGGGCCCTCAAGTACCTAAAGAGGGGTTACATTGGGGCCAAAGTCAATAACAGACGAGTACATGGACCCTGAGGGTGGGGGACTATATTTCCTGAATTAGGCCTTCTTAGGTCCTTATTATCCCTAAACCCTAGACGCCAAGACCCTACTCAAGTGCAAGCAGGCACATCCCCGTCATTTACCATCGGTACAAAGATGTGGCCACATGTACCCGTATACTATATATATATATATATATATATATGTAAACTTAGGCCTTAAAGAGGATTCCTGGATAGGCACTTCAAGGCTCAAGTTTATACTAGATGGCTACATGAAGCCTTAGAACTGCATTTCTGGTCAAAGGGTTTGGGGTTTAGGGTGTCTTTTCCTTTCTGGCGTGCCCAAACAAGACAGTCCAGTTTAGCCGGCACCTGTCCGCCACTGATGAATAGTCTTCAGGCTCCGAGAAGCCTGGAGATCCTAAAGGGAACTCCGGAAAGTTGGAATATGGAACAATGGCAGGATCCCCTATAGTTTACCTTAAAGGGATTATGATAATGATATTCCAGCTTGGGATCCTAAATGGGAGTTTCCGATTTTGAGGGGTACGGGTCCTTATAATAAGGATCCTACTATTTAGGGTACTATATCAGGGTCCTATTTTCGGAAACTCCTAAATGGGTGGTTGTCAAAATTATGGTCCCTTTGTGGGTCCTTATGACAGTACGGCACCTAATATGTAAGGTGACCCTAATTTTGACAACTACCCATATCATAGGGACGCTTAGGGGGGTACGGGGAGGGGGCTAGGGGACTATACTTCCTTAAACCGGCCTCTTTGGGTCGTTATTAAGGGTCCCTACTTAAAGGATCATGGGACTTAGTAACTAGGGTTATAATTAGCGTAAAAATACTTGTAACTACTTATAACCCCACTTAAGGTACTTATAACCCTAGTTACTAAGTCCCATGATCCTCCAAGTATGACTTTATCAATATGGCTAGGATCCCTTTTGGGTTCCCCAACTAAAGGATGCTGCATGAAGAGTAGAGTTATGGGACCATGGTTTTCACAGTTGCCTATACGTCCTACTACGATTGTGGAGCTGATGATATACATCCTGCATGACCCATAATAAGGAATATACCATAATTCCCATAGTTTAGGGTCATTAAGGTAACGCAGGATTTATATCATCAACCGTAGTTCCCAACAACCATCGTCCCAAGGGTCGCTGAAAGCAACTTCTATACGGGTACTTGGAGGATCATGGGACTTAGTAAGTAAGGTTATAAGTACCTTGATTGGGGTTATAAGTGGTTATAAGTATAGTTTCCCTAGATATAACCCTAGTTACCAAGTCCCATGATCCTTCAAGTAGGACATCGGGACCCTTATGGAAGCAGTTCTATGTACAGTAGGTTTTGCTTCATTACTATCCGCATCAATGCCCCCCATAAATACACATCTATGTGTATATGTGCATCAATACTTTATCAATGAACTCTGATGTGCAAAATCCAGGGACAGTTCCTACATTCATGGACCTCCCACAACCACATTCAACCCACCCAAACTGAGGAGTTCGGGGATTTCCAAGACTTGCAGGTTCCGAACGGGGGTCTCTGTAATGGGATGTCATCACTCAGGGTGCTTACCCTCGGGCCCTCGGGTTCTTCGATATCTTCAAACCTCGCATGTTCTTCTACTTTATCGAATATGCACGTCATTGGCAGGTTTCGTGATCTGTAAGGGCTCAGATTTCGGCGTGCATGCAACTGAAAATTCATCGGCGCCAAGCCAAGCGAGAAATGAACATGTTCCTGCAATCCTGAGCCCTGATCCTAAACCCAACATGCTAAATCCATCTGAAACCTAAACCCCAATACCTAACCCTGAACATACCCTGGGGATCAAAATAGCCCAAAAGCCTGATATAGTATAGTCTTTGGGCCCAAAAGCCTTAATATATAAGTCCTTAGATCCCTAGGGATACCCAGCTCTCTGTGTTGGCCCTGAGGGAGCGTTCTTCCTCGAAGCCACTGGCCTACAAGGACTGCGAGCACGAGGACCCGGGCTCGACCGACCGGCAGGTTCAGGGCTTAAATTACCCTAAGGGTCCACATACGGGAGAATCGAAAATTCGGGGTATCTTATGTTGGGGTCGTTTTAATAAGGATCCTACTATATTGGGCTTAAATTACCCTACTTGGAGGTTCATGAGTTAGAAGCCCCCTAACATGGGCCATGCACCTCCAAGTAAGGGTCCACATACTCAAATAGTAGGGTTCATACTCTGAATGGTTTTTTAACCTTAAAATACTACTATTCGGGCACTTGGACCCCTAGGGTTAGTTACCAGCCGAATCTCCGAAATTTTCGGAGAAGCGCAGGATTCAGGTAGGCCTCAGAAGGAGGAGAAGAAGAATGAAGACATCAAGGATGGCAAGAGAGTGCAGCCACTAGGATTCAGAGTAGGCCCTTATGCCCTTGTTTTAGGGTTTAGGTCTCCTTAGAACCCCCCTTTAAACCAAAAAGGGCACCCATTTTATTCCTAGGTTACTTTTAAGCCTTATGTCTAGGAAGCAATCACCGATGCCTTGCCCTAAGGATCCATGTATCCGAAGAGTATATACTTTGGCCCCAAGGTACCTATACAGGGACTGAATTAAGGCCAATGTTTATACTATTCAGGTACATGGGCCGTTAGGGTGGGAGAGCAAGAAGAAGCCAGTTTGGGTATAGGGCTTGGGAGTTAGGGACATGTCACGCCAACCATAAGATCTGAGCAAGCATTGTAGGCGCGTTCTTCCCCTTCAAAGCTTTGGAGTCTTATGGCTGCCTAGCCCCTACCTTAACCCTAAATAACCTACCTTTTCGGGGTTCCTTATTTTTCTTATGATAAGTCCTTGAAAAGGCCTGTTCAGTGTTCCTTGTTATGATTTTCTTATATAAGTCCTTAAACAGGATATGCTATTCCGGGCTTGGGGCCCCTCAGCCCTAAGCCCCAGTTTCCGAAGCCCCTTTAAGACTGAGGCCCTGATCCCTGATAACTGAGCCCCAATATCATAGTACCGGTATAGATCCCTTATAGTAGCCCTTTAAGGATCCCTTTAAAGGAAGCCCTTTTAGCCCTTTAAGGATCCCTGTAAAGGTAGCCCCATTCTAATTATTATGGCCCCTAGGTATCACCACCTTTGTTGCAGGAACTGGTCCGGATCCTCGGGGTGCGGGATCGAAAGATGCTTTCCAGCATGCTTACAGGGAACTCCAGAAAGTTGGACTTTGGTTTCATGGTAGGGTACCCTATAATTTACCATAGAAGGGTTAGGATAATTTTGTTCCAACTTTCTGGCTTCTACCGTAAAGGATCATGGGGCGTCGGACGTGGTGAGTAAGCGCTCCTTAAAGGGATCTAGAGGGTTCCTTAAAGGGATCTATAGGGTTTCGGGGTCTACTTAAAGGATCATGGGACTTAGTAACCAGGGTTATAACTAGGGTAACTATGCTTATGACTACTTACAACCCCAATTGAGGTACCTATAACCTTACTTACTAAGTCCCAGGATCCTCCAAGTGCAGTATGCTTTTGGCTCGGTTTGAGGCTCTAGGGTTTGGGGTTCAGGGCTTAATGTAGAGGCCTGAACAATTATACATAAAGTTTTGTTGGTTCTTTAGTATAACGGGCCCCAAAACCCTATGCTGATTCGTAAGGCCCCTACATTAGTTAGGATTTAGCTAAGGTTCTTGGGGCTACCAGAACCTACTGTTCACAAGCCAGAGGATCACAGTCGTCGAACTATTTTGCAGGGCTTGCCGGTTGCAGGAAGCCTTGTACAAAGAGAAATCGAAGCCGTCCAAGTCTATGGCTTTGTCAGGTGGTTGATTGAGGGCTTCCAGAATCTGCGGGGTTTCGAGGGAACAGGCTATTTATTTAGATGTTGTAAACATATGAAGGATGGGGCCGAACAATGGGACCCTCCCCCGGCCCCGCAAGAAATTTAGGGTTTAGGATTCGGTGGGTTAGCAGCATCATCCTCCTAGACAACTACAGTAGAACTACTGGCGTTTACCTCGGAGCTTGTATGTGGAAGTCTGCAAAGTCGGGCAGGGTATTGCCGTATGGCCCCATGCTGAAATAATCAGGGGATGGTGTCAAAAGAGGTCTGGAGTGGCCTCAGGGTGATATACAGGGGCCTTATCAGCTGGCAGCTAGAAAAGGGCGAACAGTGTTTGGGGGTATTCGTGCTTGTATTCATAAAGAGTCTGAAGGAAGACTCAGGAAGACTATCGGCAATGATTCAGGCTTCCTAGTTCTTGAATGATCTGGGAATGCATAAATAAATCAAAAGCTTATGGCGACACGCAGCATATACGTACGAATTACTAGCCATCAAGCTTCGAGGGAGTCAACCCTAACCCCCAGAACAACAAAAGCCTACAAATCTGCAGAAGCGCTTCTCACAAGCATACGGAACCGTGTTGTTTAATCCCACGCTTGATAAAATTCGTTTAAACAGGTCTAGGGCGATACTTGAACATAGAAAAGGTTTTATA